GCACCCATTCCAGCTTTTCACGCATGTCAAGTGACTGCCCCCACCCCCCACCCCCTAGACTGCCTACACTCCCCCTGGCCCACGGATTTCCGAACATGCCAGGCGAGCAGACTGCCGCGCCGCCGCGTGCCCCCCCCCCAACTAAGTTAGCACCTCGCTGAATTCGCGAAGTCTGACATCGCCCATACAGTCCATCTCGCCGTCTGAATAGGCATGCCTAGGGATTTGACGTGCTGGTGCCGCACTTGAATGAATTCCGAAACTGAGTAGACTGCTAGTAAGTAAAGCGAGTAAACTGTTTCCAAAATACTTGCTAGAAATCAGCATATCAACGCGACTTCTATATCTGATGTGCGGCCGGCGGCCGGCACATCAGATCCGTAGATATGTCTACATAGACGGTGGAATATGGGCTTTATGACTGCAGCCTTACTTTTTTGCTTGCAAGCATATCTTACTACTATGAGTAAGTTGCTGTGCTTACCTCCTCAGTTTTGAGTGGATCCTTTCGTGTCGTCGTAGTGCAGAATTCGTTGAATAAACTGAATCACATTGAGCACATTTCAACCTGAAGAGTCAATGAACTAATTGAGCTTTCGGTTTCTCACAAAACTGGCATACCTGGAAGGATGATGGGTGTTTCGCATATGTTTTCTCAGATGTTCTGTTGATGGAAATGTTTTATTGCAATCTGACCTGGGGCATGGAAATGGTCTAGCTCCGCTGTGCATATTTTCTATGTGCATTATGAGGCCACCCTCTGAGGTAAATATTCTTCCACAAGTTTGACACTGCAGCTCCAAGGGGAATGTTGGCGGTTCCGATGTGTCCGGCATTTTTCTGAACCCTCAAATTTAACCCGCTTCTCACCTACCGAGAAACTTCGCAGGTTTAGTGCGACATTACCTGCCATTAACTGAATTTGATTCCTGGCAAACGCTTCTCCTCAAATATGAAACCCCACTACTGCCGACACCAAAAACAGGGCTAACTCACTCGCCAAATTTACCTCTGGGGAACTTCGAATGATTGTTGTAGTTTTTCCTATTTTTTTAGCAACTGCAATGCTAATACCTTAAAAAAATGGGCTCCCTTATTTCTTTGAGGCAACCTAGAGATGTTTAGAGGCTCGTTCCAGAGTATGGTAAAAGGGGGCCCGCGCCGCGCTTCGAAGGATGGGCCTTCTAGCTAGTTGTCAGCTTACTGTACTGTATTGGCGTGAAACCAATTAGTTTGAGGCACAATACGTCTCATACCGTTGACTTTACGGCGAGGTCAAAAATGCCGCGTTTGGCTGACTGAATTTTTCATTGCATTCATTGTTGCGTTTTAATGCATTTGGGGAAATAACTTAGAGAGCAGGGAAGAAGAGGGATTCGGGAGCGTGGACGTAAGCATTGGGTTTTTCATGTGATCAGAACAAATATAATTACTTTCAAATTCTCTCCCTCGCTCACTACGCAATTTCTCGGCGGGGATTCTGATGGCTACCGTTTCATTATAACAGTCGAAATAATTTTCTAAAGATTGATGGAAGTGCTTAAACATGATTCTAAGCAAAGAGAAGCGAATGAGTTTACGTCATGAAATGAACGGCGCTTAAAGGAGGATTTCACGATAAGAACGAAGGTCGAAGAAGGGGAAAATTGCCTAGTGGGAGACAGGCGGACCTCCTGAGGGTGCGGACTGACACGCAATTGGCAGCGAAAGATTTGACCTCGGCGATCTAGCATGGCTCACTCTTGGCGCGGTTGGCGGGGTACGCCCACCGACTATCTAATCACTCGCCGCAGGTCTATACGTGGCGAGTGATTAGATAGTAGAGTCAGTCATGATCATAATGCGCAAATCAACGGGCAAGGAAGGGGTCCCATTTCTCGGGTTCTGGGCCGTTTCTCATGGTTTTTCCTTCTTTCGTGTACCACTCACCATCCCTAAGTTAATTTGAAATGGGTTGCTTTTTCATCGTGAATTCTGCCTTTAATGTGATCTACTGCTTAAAAGTCTTGACAAGACACTGCTGCGGTAGAGTAGAAAATGAGCCAGCAAAGCCTCAGCATGCCTGTCCTTTGCGTGCGACAGGTATGTTGCAATACTCTTGGGATTAGCTTCAAATTTATTATAATAGTCTTCTACTTTGCGAAATGTTTTTATTAGAAAAACATTGGAAAAGTTGAGCGATAGTGAAGAAGAAATGTTACGTCCTGCTCCAATAGGTTTCGTTGTGGTATGTATGTCAGTGCGCCATGTCGAGTATGGGCTTCCAAAAACCTGGGTGCTGGCTGCCGCTCTCGCGGCTCGCGACATGTTCGCGGTGTATGTAGATAAGGTGGTGTCAGAGTCCGCGATCCGTCGCAGGTTTCGCTGATTTTCGCGATTTGCGCGATTCCGCGATTTTCGCGATTCACGCGACGGGTCACGGAAATCACAAGTGCCCGATCAATACTGCAAGGTGTTCTCCAATCCTGCCGCCACTTCTGCTTGATAGTGATGGCTGAATGACGACTGCTCATGATTGCACTTTATTTTATTTATGGACATGTGACATATACACATTACACTTGTTTCATACTTAGTGTTTCAAATGTTCAAATGGGGCACTTAGATTTTTGCGATCGTCGCAGGTTTCGCGCAAATCGCGAAAATCGCTTGAATCGCAAAAATCGCGAAAATCAGCGAAATCTGCGACGGATCGCGGACTCTGGCACCAGCTCAAAGGGAGTGGGGTGAGTCGCTTCTCATGCGCGAAAAGCTGGAATGTGCGAGTCTATACTATCTTGCTGAGGGCTCTGTTATATCGCGCCCCGCAGGGGCGCCGCACTCCTAAGTTAGCAGCAAATTTTTGTGATTTGGCGAACGTGCGTGCTTTTCACGTTTCTCTTTGACATGAATGTATTCAGTGTGATTTGTCTTAATCTATTGCTGGTGATCCTATATGCGGCAGTGCGATCTGTATATCATATTGGTGAGGTGTGGAAACTATTACAAACCATTAGAATGTTGATAAAATGTAATATAGGAATGACAGAGGTCGAGGAACGCAGATGTGAGGGTTTTGAATGCGGTAAACCAGCGAAACTGCGCTGCCCAACATGTATCAAATTGGGCTTGAAGGATTCGTTTTTCTGTGATCAGGTTTGCCTTATCTTGCATTTGATTTATTTTGTGAAATTATGATTATTGCTTCCTTTTTGACTTCTCAGGTGTGCTTCAAGGCAAATTGGGCCACACACAAAAACCAACACAGCGATCCGGACGCGCCATATAATCCTTGGCCCAACTATAAGGCAAGTTTTCCAATAGTAGTTAGTACTTGTTAGATCAACATGTAGGCAGTTTTCTATTTTGAACTCAGTTTGTGATACTCGTGTTCTTTGTTGTATCTATTTTCTCACATCTACTTCTTAGAAGCTCGCCTCAATCACAACTCTTCATAACAAAGTTTTGTTGCTAACACACTCCTGAGTATACCACATTCACCATACCTCCCGAGCTTCTTGGCACGCATTGGCCGATGTTGTTCTCTATAGAAGACCTTACAGTTGCGTGAATAAGAAAAGGTTGAGGGGCCAGACGTTGCTCACGTGGCTTGCTCAAACTTTCAGTTGTGGGCGTTGTAGAGAGAAAGTATTGCTCTTTAATATGAATTCGCTGTTTTGACAAATGGTGAACATGATTTTAATGAGGCTTAGGGAAATTTTTTTTCGAACATGGGTGCTCCGCCCCAGTCTTAAGCCTTTCATTTGCGAGCGCGCCTCAGTCATGTTTCCGGTCGAAGCAGATTCTTGGTGCGATTGACTTTTCTCCAATCGCTATCTTCTTCAGAACACATCTTTAAGAAAACTTCTCAAATTTTGCAAGGCTTTTTCTACTGAAATGCGCATTGTCCTTCATGTAACACAGATACACCTCAAAGGCACAACCCAGGCAGAGGTCGTGTGAACGCTTCTCTTCGGTCTGTAGTATAGACCCTAGAGGACAATCACAAATGTGGCGTTCTCGTGCACGGAAACCAACCGACAAGAGCGCTTGGGCCTTGCAAAGTAAGCTGCCCAAGCTGCAGATTTTTTCTCTTATCAGGCTGTTGTCTGGCGCTCTCTCATCTGTAGCGCTCTCTCGCCTCATACTCTCCTCTCCGCGCTTAGTCTCTCATTCCCTTAGCACAGCCGATTAGGAAGGTGAGTGAGCCCTTAACCTAAGCGTTTTCGACGGATTCTTTTCCTTTTTTCACTGCCGGCCCATTTCGCACCAATACATTCGCATTCGTGTGCAAGAGCCACACCAAGTGTGATCCTGGGGCATGCCTTTAAATTTCCCAAACAAGGATAAAGGGGTAACGAGTATCTGAGCTTTTCTATCGGTTTCATGACCTCTGGAGCCGCATCATCTTTCTTCCAGACTAAGAGAAGAAAAGTTTCCCCAAATTTCTAGATCACTTTATATACATTTTGAAAGAAATCTACCTGCTCTAGAGAACCCTTCATTTTTCTCCCACATTCGTTGCGAAAAGGTTGAATTTCGGGCTAAAATGGGAGGTCTGCTTGACGAAAATCAGCCAAACCAATAACTAGCTTTAACCCTATTTTTGCTGCAAGAAATTGATGTGCCCTGTACTTAGTGGGAACCGTTGTGAATTTCCGCTAATATACGTCTAATAAGTCATGTCTTCCTTTTTTCATATATGTTTTTTCTTGCCGGAACTCAATGGTTAACCGCTTCGTTGTTGAATGTAGACGCAAAATTTAAGGCGAAAAAATCGAAGAACTAGTGGAAGTTGTGTACAATTCGAGGGGATCTTTCTTTTGAGATTCTAATGTGGTCATTCTCGTGCACTAGTCACCCCTCTATTCAGACAATGCAGTGGTGGAATATTTACAAGGCGATGTCCCCACAGGGTTCATCGTTGATCGATTTCTCTAATGTAATATGGTGTCAAAGGTAGTTGCCGGTTTGGCTAATTTTCGTTGACTGGGCCTATCCTTCCATAGGGTTGAAATTTAGTATGTCTGCAACGCATGTAGAGGTGTAACATGAAGTTTTGTAGTACAGGTGTATCTCTTTATAAAGTCATATAACATGATGTAAAAACATTTAATTTAAATAGAAAAATTCCCATTTGACAAAAAAACGACACTACTCACGGAGAAACCTACCATGTCTAACTGTCTTGCAACTTTACCGTTGTTGTTACTATGCAACTTAAAATGTGCAGGATTTCAATATTCACTTCTGAATTGCGGTTTCTATGCCACCTTTTGTTAGTCATGACCCACTATGTGGATTTGTGCATGTGAATTGTTTAATGAAGATCTTATGTTATAAGGGTCCTCGCAATTTTTCGTCACGCGGATAAGGTCAATGTTTTTAGTTTACTGGATCATTACGGCCTGCGAGGGTTACACCAAGGCGGCCTGTGCCACAATCTATCCCACGTCCAGACTATGCTTTACATCCCCAAGGAGTTTCATTTGAAGAAAGGCAAGCAAAAAAGAATAGAGACGTCAAGGTAGGGATTTATCTAGCAAAATCTTTTAGAGTCAAATTCTATTAGTTTCTCTACCTGGCTAGCTTTTCAGGTTCTAGACGATGAGGAAAAAGAAGGTCTACGCGTAGCATGTCGTCTAGGCAGAGAGGTCCTGAACGAAGCAGCCAAGGCGTGCGCTCCAGGTGTCACCACGGATGAGATTGACCGAGTCGTGCACGAAGCATGCATTGAAAGAGATTGCTATCCAAGTCCGTTGGGGTGTGTTTGTCTCGCAAGCTCTTTTACTCTCCTATTAATTTATCCCGTAGTAATATTCGGCGGATTTCTTTCTCATTTTCTTTTTGATGGTATTTTAATTTTTTTTGACATTCTATTTAAAAGGCAATTTTCAGATATATACAACATCCTGGAAATGGATTTTCCAGTCTATATTGAATTTCGCTCTCTAGTATTACTTCTGAGATGTCCGTCAGACTAGGTGATTGTGCCAATCGCGAGCGCCCATCGCTTGGCACAATCGCCAAGTCTGACGGACATCTGACCTATAACCAATGCAACAATGTTGTTATTTTTCACTTTCTTGATTTAATTTTACATGCGCAAGTCAGCACACCTTCTTGGAAAGTGACTCTCTGTTGAGTGTTGCCATGATGGCTGTTCTGAAGGCTACACAATCAGTGCGTACTCTTTTTATTTTAAGCTCCTACGTCTTTTTTTAGATATTACAATTTTCCGAAAAGTTGTTGCACCTCAGTGAATGAAGTTATTTGTCACGGTATTCCGGATCTCCGTGTGCTAGAGAATGGTGATCTGTGTAACGGTATGGTTTGTTTTTTTTCCTTCCTGAAATCTTCCTCTTTTTCTTTGTGATTCGTTCCACCCTATTTGGGTATTGCAGTCGATGTCACTGTATATCATCGCGGATTCCACGGCGACTTGAATGAGACGTTTCTTGTTGGTGACGCTGTAGATGAAGAGTCACGAAACCTCGTCCGTGTTACTTATGAATGTCTGCAGCAGGCCATATCAATAGGTGATTTCATTGCCAACATCATTTTTCGTTTTTCGATTATACCGATACTGTCGGAGCAAGACCATACCTCTCATAGGTATCATTTTCAGTCAGACCAGGTGTGAAGTTTCGCGAAATCGGTAATGTGATTCAAAAACATGCAAATGCTAATGGTTTCTCCGTAGTAAAAGCCTATTGTGGTCATGGAATCCATAGGTAAGCATTGATATTTTACATTTTATAGAATATCTTACGTTTGTTTTCAAAGGTTTTATCTGGGAAGCTTTTGTTGAAGTCAACTGCTCATCATCCTTAAGTGATTTTTGAGCTTCTTCCGCTCAAGGATGGATTTTTTGCTATGATGTCATACGTAGGACATTTCTGAAATTCCCCTTAGAAAACATAAAATTCATTAGGAGATCATGTCAAAAGCCGGATTAAGTGAGACGATCGAAGTTAGTCCGTGACCAGAACCCAGGCTTGAGCTTTCACGGGCAACGAATCAGTGGTGATGAGCTGACCTAGGTAGATTTATATAAAAGAGCGATGAGTCGTGAGCTTGTTTACAGAGTGGAATAGGATCAGCGCCAGTTACGCGTAATATTAAATTCACGAATATTCGTGCATTCGATATTAGTACAGGAAGAGTTGCCTGTATGATCGCCACTACGTTCCGCCCGGCACTAGTATTGAACGGCCTGCGAGGCGTTTGTTGTAGTGTTTTGACAAGGACTATGCAATTTGTATAGATAAATCTTCTTTCTTGGGCCAGTTATCATTGTTCAAATGGTCCTGAATAAAGACATGATTCCTGCCAGAAATCTGGAGATTCCGACCACATGGGTTTGCTCACCTTCTTCTTTTCCAGCTCTTTCATTCGATGGCTTCTTATTTGGTTTTCGCTCCAGTGAGGCCCTTGTTAGTGACCTCCCTTCACCTGTGGCTCTCCTAGCACGTGTCCATCATAGTCTTTACTGCATGCTCTGTTGGACCGTTTGCATGGCCGTTCCCGAAATCTTTGTGTACGACCCCATCCAATCGCACCCTACTGCAACCCTTCCTATGCCTCCTCATTTCCACGATGTGGAACTGTCTCTCATGATTTAGTACGAGTAAGCGCTCGCCGCTCATAGCAGCACTACCTCGCCACTGCTCCGTACACCTTACCCTTTGGCGTCCTTGAGTGTTTGGCCCTGTCGGAAGTCATTCTAACGCTTCCTGTCGCTTTGGCATGGAATTCTTTTCTATCGTCCAATTTGTCCACTAACCATAAGCGGACAACTTTGTCGCCGTAGAAAATGGTCTTCTTACGTTTAGAGTTATTAGGAGCAGAAACGGACTCAGAGCTCATGCTAGATTGACTCCATTTCCAATGTTATAATAAATACCATTTCGTCTGGTCACACGAGCTACATATGCATGAGCCCCGTAGTACATACCCTCCACAATGGGAATCAGGTGTGGAGTGTTCCGTTTTGTGAGGCCTTTCTGTTCGCATAGACCACTAGATCCCAAGTTTCATGCGTGAAATAGTGGGATTGTTGGCAAAAATCCACAATCAATACCGAGAGGTCGCTATGTGTTGCAGTGTGCCGCGATGGAGGGCAAGTATGATACTAGGTCCAGTTTTGGTAGCCTTACTTAGCATCTTGGCTGGTAGCATATTGGCATCCATTATGAAAATAGAACTTTCTCGTTACAGGTTATTTCACACTGCTCCAAATGTGCCGCACTATGCAAGTGAGTCTTTTTATGTTTAGTATTCGTCCCAAAATGTTTTTCGATATGAAAAATGTAAGTATTGAACACTTTACTCAGTGTCGTACGCGGAGCTTTTTGCGTGGAACTCGCTGTCGTGGCTAGGAATCATGGGTAGGAACGTGTACTATGTCTTATGCTTTGAAAACAGCTTGTGATAGCACAGTAGGAATTTTATTTCTGACGAAATTGCTACTGTACTGTAATGGTGTAGTGTTGCTACTTATTCAATGTAATGTTTTGGAACTGATGGTGTTACTTTGGGCGAATGTGATATAGTGGCAAATGGTGCCAGTTCCCGCGCGCTTAGTCGTTCTCATCTCGGATCAAGTCTCCGCTTGGCTAACTCAGCCTTCCATCCCTCAAGAGTCGACCAATCGGTACCAGACTCGTTTGTGGGGATAAAAACACTCGCTTGTGTATCGACTGGCTTCTGCATGTCGTTGTATAGGCCATACCACATATACTACAGGGTGCTCGATAAATGAAGCAACACATTTTGATGGTTGTCTTTTCTATTGTGTGGGTATCTGTAGTTCTTTTCCCAAGGTTGGCATACCTTCACTTCCTATGACCTCTTGTGAAGCACGGCTTACCATTCGTTGTACATCTCATGGTGCACCTAACCTCAAAAGAGGTCCTAATCCCTCAGCTAGGTCGATCAGGTGATTACATAACGCGCTTCTTTGGATTTTCAACCGCTCCTTGGCCTACGTGTTTACTAAAGAAATGACCAATGGAAGCGGTCTTTGCTGCGGCCGCCCCACAAGTTCTGACACTTTGAATCT